CTTATAGAAATATAGAAATAGGCAACAATAAATAGTGATTATATATACATGTATACAAAAATAATCAATTTTTGATAGAAGGAGAATATCTCTAATGCTCTTATATATATACATACTTATAGAAATAGGCAACAATAAATAGTGATTATATATACATGTATACAAAAATAATCAATTTTTGATAGAAGGAGAATATCTAAGGTGATCTAATGCTCGCGGCTCAATCGTCATCATACTTGCATTTTAGATCTTATAGAGAATCAAAAATTGAGTATTTTTCTAAAGCGCCAAGATACACCAAAGCCCTAGTAATCGGGACTAGTGATCAACAATACTTCAGAAGTGCCAGTTGTAATGCAAAAAAATAAAGAAATTAAAATTGTGTATTCAGCAGCAGACAAATACTGAAGAAGCATTTTGTAGAATTAGTTAGTGGACGGAATACACACCATCTGTGACATATATATAAATAAATTCGTTGTATAAAATGAATCGAATTGCATTCTGCATTCACATTCGTATGAAAAAAGACGCGTGTCGTTAAATAGATACGTGTATTATCGATAATTAAAACGACGACTATGTAATTACGAATAAAACCGATGCAATTTCAAACAATAACACCGTCATTGACCCGAAATGAAGTGGAACAACATTTTATCGATGCATACATAAATAAATGGCATATGTAAAACGTGATATTGTGACCGTGGACACATCTCAGAGAAATTTTATGAAGGATTTGTTCTCGAGTTTTACAATATTCACCGCTTTAGGATAGTTTAAGCGGATACACGTCAAAATCTTATCAAAGTAAATATTTATATCTTCAAGATAACTATTGTTTTTCTATTCCAGCATGTCACGCGTATCTTATTTAATGCTCACTAAGATTTATTCATCTACATATAATTTTCTAACGAATGAATTCGAAAATTTTCGAATGGAGAGTTATAATTGCATTGAATGAAAACAATTATATATATATTTTTTTCTATTTTTTTACTTGCTTTTTATTTTTTCAGTATTTTATGTCTGTGTTAATTTTCTTTCAAATATAATTTTGTAGATTATGATCATTACAGATCCATGTTCAATTTAGAAGAATTGGCACTGAATAATATCACGGATGATAAATATTGAATATTTTCTAATATTGAAAATGCGATAGCCCGAAAATTACGACAAGATATATGGGACGTGGAATGATTGCAAGTTGAATGCAAAATGAGTAAATTTCCGTATATTATTTCAAACTTGGTAAAGATAAACAAGAATCTACATCGGGCTTAGAATACATATATAAACTCTACTTCCTCACGTGACACACATGTAGAATACACATGACCCGGATTTTACTTTGCTCCAGATTTTGTTATTATCAACGACTTTTCCAATATTTATTTTTTACAGATGGAAATTCTGATAACATTACGCTTTGAGATGATGAGAAACAACGCAATTATTATTATTAATGATCATTTCATGGAAATAAAACTTTTTTCTAAGATTTAGGTCTGTTCTATTTACGACTATATAGTCTCATCATCAGTTTTGTAACATTTCATTCTTCAGATATACTTGATTTATTCCCGCATAATATTTTTCGGAATGTCGCGGTATATTTCAGAACTTTATTCTTTTTTTATGTTAGGTATTTTTATAAAATTAATGACACATTTTAAATTCATGCTTACATAACGAAGGATCTATATATCGAATATCAATAAGTATAACACACACATTGATATAATATATATACATATATATTTTAGTGTTGACTATATATATATGTATATGTATATATATTAGTTTCGAATAATTATATATATATATATATATATACAGGGTGAATTTTGTGAAAGATATTAGATTATATATATAAACATATATATTATCTAATATCTTTCACAAAAGGATGTATCATAGAAATCATACCGACGGAGCGATGACATAGTCATAAAATCTTCGTGCAAATGTTGAATTTCTCCTGGAATAAAGAACAAATAAGATAAAGTGTTATACGTCATTAATGTGCTAATAGTATATATATATTTTTTTCGACACGCGGAATTACGCAGTAACATTGAGAGATATTGATCACGCGATGATTCGGAATTTTCTTCTACGTTGCGGAGTTACTACTGGTTACCGGTAAATAATTCCGTCAAGAAAATTGACGTATATATGTTTATATACACATGCAAAATACATGCGCATTGCGGATATAAATTACAGGCAGGATATAATTGTCTGTTCTAATTTTTACAGATTATATAGACACTGCAATAATATTTCTTTAGCAATATTAATAATAGTATTATAAAACTCTTTTTAACTGGTAGTGTTAATATATATTACAGTTTTCTATTTTCAACTTTTTATTTTTATTTTATCGTCGCTTTAAAATGTATTTTTTAATGACGATAAAATGTATTTATTAATAACGATATAATAATATTTCTGGCACGATTACGATAACTGTGGCCCCCTATTTGAAAGGTCGTTTCTGAAGACATTTTTGACGAGGAACACGGGAAAAATAGTAAAAAAAATATTTTTTTCAAAATATAGACATTTTTTTGTTAAAATTTGTTTAATTTTTTTAGTTATTTTAATTTCCTCGCTTCGCATTGTAAAGTATATGCGTGGACGCAGTGGGTTCCGCCCCC